TATATATATGTGTGTGTGTGTGTGTGTGTGTGTGTGTGTGCGTGTTATGCGTCAGTATAAGTGCGTTCGCTGGCTCATCTGCATTTGTGTGAAGGTATGCGCGCTGTACACAATTTCTCCGCAGGGATCGAGGCTATGAAATAACCATATGCACACCCCTTTATACGTACGGATATACCTGTACAGTCATCACGCACACACACTTACGGACTCATAGAAATTCCACTCCAGACACTCATCCGACTCACGCTCCAGTGCATGAACACTACTCTATGGACGACCACCCCCCTACACACCCCCCCCCTCTATTACAATTATAATACCACACCTCCGATTTGTTTCCAATTTTTCTGATCCCAAACCCTAAACCCTAAACCCTAAATTTTCAACCCCACCCCCAACCACACCGTAGCTGATCCAGGCATTCAACATCGCCTCGGATCAGATTGGCAAGGATGCGGTCACCACCGCGAAGGTACGGCTGGATGCGTGTAGTGCGGGGTTTGTACTGATCGCTGTACTGGATGTGGCGCTGTTGGTCATGGTAGGCACCATGCCTGGTTCACTCCTGGGATGGCTGAATCTGGACTCTATGCCCTTGCCCTTCCGCAAGAAGCGGAGTTGATGGGTTGGGAGTTCAAACAAGCCCGCTTAATGGCTTTTGGATGCCACCTTCTCGAAGTATCAGATGGTTGTGTGGTGCGGTACATGGGCCCTCGGTCGTATGTATGACGGTCGTATGTATGCTGGTCGTATGTATGGCGGCCGTATGTATGGCGGCCGTATGTATGACGGTCGTATATGTGACGGTCGTATGTATGGCGGTCGTATATATGACGGTCGTGTGTATGACGGTCGTATGTATGACTGTCCAGTGCCTGAATCGCTCCTGGGATTGCTGGATGCTCTTACCCTTCCGGAAGGGGCCGAGTTGACCAATTGTGATCGAAACAACCTCACACAACGTCACCTCACATAACGTCACCTCACACAACGTCACCTCACATAACGTCATCGCGCACTGCACATAATGCGGACTGTCGCAGGTGTGCCGGATGTGAGCTAGCTAATGCATGTATTTGAGTGCATCTACGTGCCAGTATATTTTACCTGTTTCTGTGACTAAAAAGGGCCAGCATATTGCTCGGATCATACATGGGATGCCTGAATCTGAACTCAATACCCTTGTCCTTCCGAAAAGGGCTTCCGAGTTCGCGGGTTGGGACCAAAACTCGTACATATGCACCTTCTCGAATAAGGCTTTTGCCGTCACAGGGGAGAGAAGTGTGGCTTTGCTATTGTGGTGGGTATTGCGCCTGGACCATCCTGGACATGGCTGAGTCTGTAGTCGATGCCCCTGTTGCTCGTTTAGAAGAAGCCGACGGGGTTACAGAGTGGCGACTTTATGGTTTAAGGAAGGCTGTCTTCTCTTTCTTTATTCTTATCCCAGAATATCTTGTTACGGTCAATAACTTTTGACGGGAGTGGTCAGTCCTCGCTCCAAGAGGTTGAGACTTCTGGTGTGATAGTGTGCTGCCATATGTGCCAGGTTTGCCTGTCGTTGGGTACTGATGGGTGTACGTGTGATTCTAAACCTACTACAGCCGAATTTCGGACGGGTTGAATCAGCTGGGACTGCGCATACCAATGAGTCATACAATGTGCACATTGTATCGGACGGTACTGACCACGACCGATGTGGCCCAATGCCTGGAGCCTAACCGCGTTTTCCTGCGAGTGGTCAAGATTGCTAATGGTGTCGATAAGGCGGTGGGCGTGGACTGCCGTAGTCGATACAGGGGAAGGGATGTGGCATAGTTACTGGTGGCTGGGTCATGAATCTCAGGCTCCAATCCCAGGCTTATAGTCTTCACTAGAACAAGTAGGTAGATCCAGTCGGCGCCTGTGCCCTCAAAAAGCGTACAGTGGGAACTGAGGGATTGTTGCGATAGTATGGGTCGGTCGTGGGTGGTGGTGTTTAGGAAGCCGTGCGTATGAGGTGGTCCCAGGGTATAAGCACGAACCACGCGAACACACATGTACAGAGAAGTGGCCGGTATCCTCAAGAGCACTCTACGAACGGGTTCAAGGCCTCGGGGCTGAGTGGATAAGATTTATCGTCTCATGTGGTGTGCGAAATCCAGTAGTACTGAAGCGGTGTACATTTTGCCAATGTGCCAGTGGATGAATATACGGACGGCAGTACTGAATGGCTGAAGCTCTGATATATTGGACAGGAGGAAATGGTCAAACAACCAACTTAATCCAATTCTGTATCTCTGTGACTGTGAGGTGTGCCACAGGCCTGCGCTACGGTTCAAAGTTCTCTCGAGAGTGCGTATTGGGTTATAAACTCGTTACATTTGTGTGAGCGTTGTCACTCATGTACGCACAGAACGCGGGCTGATGGCAGGACTTCATGGAGATGTTCCTGGCTATATCCAACGTGTACTACTAGTCCAATATGACAGAACAAACGTTGAAGTACCCATAGGGTGAATTCAGGGCCACAGATGTAGTCTGATTTACGAGTGATTAAGTGCATAAAAATTGTCGAGCGTATGCATAGGCAATCAATAAATTAGGTACAATCATGTAAATTCTGTGTGAGCGTTCACTTTTGGGATCCGCTTTTACGTGTCATACAATAATCTATATACAATAATCCATATATATA